TCCCAAGAGTGTACTTTCCCATTTAGCTGGAAAAAAAAGCCTTTTGTTTTCTCTCTCAGGATCTCCCCAGAAACACAGCTAGGTTGGCTGGGGCATTCTGGAAGTTGTAATCCAAAAAAGGGACTCTCCAGAGCCCCCTCCAATCTGGGGTTACAAATTCCTCTCACCCAGCTACTGCTCATCTTCCGAAAAGCCAAAACTGCCCGTACGCTGGTGAATTTCAGAGCATGAGAAGTTACTTTTTAAAAGTAATTAGTTAGTCTTGGAGTTCCAAAGCCCCAAAAGAAGTTTAGTTGGCATTATGATTTTGAATTTTTTTGCAAGAGTAATTCTTAAACATTTGGATGATTCAAACGTAACTAAAATTGTACCTTTAATTACTTTGTTTAAAAAGCCATCAGGACGCTACAAGCAGACATACGTGGTGCGGCCATGCATTTTCTGTAACCATAGAAATAACTAAAAAGCCTTTACACTGCAAAAAGAGAGATAAATTATCCCTTGTTGCTTGGCAATCATTATATAATTTAGCTATTGCGAAGAAGAATTAATTACAAGTGACAGAAAAATTGGAAGAACAATGCTTTTGAACTACAGCTCCCAGAATCCTCCATGCTATCAGGAATATTCTGGGAGTTATCCAGAAAATTGACTTTTCCTGTCTCTACAAGTAACTTATCAATTCCAAAAGTGTTGCTCCATCTGGGCTATTCTGATAGCAGCGAATTTCTTGAGTTTCATCTAAGCATCTGTCTTGGCCACTTTTTACGGTGTCGAAAATTCATCTTATGTGGGTTTTATTAAACATAAAAGGCCTTTATAATGCCAAGAGATACAGCAGAGCATCAATGCCTTACGGGGAAAGAAAAAGATCATTAGTTTGTAAGCTAGGAGATATGAATAAATTCTAAGAGATTTTAGATTTTCTAAGAGAAGCTTGGACTTTGAGATGTTCCTAATTTTAAGGAATCAGCTTGAACCGTTAATTTCCAAAATTCGTATAATGAAGTTACCGTATTTTTCGCACCATAAGACACACTTTTTTCCCCACAAAACAGGGGGGTGGAAAGTCTGTGCGTCTTATGGAGCGAAGAAAACAGATTATATTTTCCTGTTTTCTTCTCCTAAAAAATTGGTGCGTCTTATGGAAAGGTGCGTCTTATGGAGCGAAAAATACAGTAATTTAAAATATTCTACTTAGTTTTGTAAGCTAGGTTTTGCATGAACTGAATGTTGTGATGCTGACTGGGGACCACTGAATTAGAGCTTTTTGCCTCAAGAAGTGACATACTAGTTATGGATTCATGAACAACTTGCCACTTACCAAATGTAACAACACTTCCCATGATTCTTTTGCGAGGAGCATAACTTTAAAGACAAAAAGAATACAGGTTTCTACTTCCAATAGGATCTTAATTCTTATCCATTTCCCCTAGAAATGTAAGTTGCTCCGAGTACTTGTTTTACCACGCAGAAATAAATTACTTTTCTGATTTATACAACAAAATAAATAAATTGCACACACAAGACTGATCCTATCTCGATGTCCCTTGTGCTTTTGGAAACTTCGATGTGCATATATAACTTTTGTGGATGCATATACTTCCTTTTCGTAGACTCTATCCTATTTTTGACAATATTTTTACAGAACAAAATATATATTAAATAGAAGAGTGTTGGATCCTTTTTTTAAAAAAAGCTCAGATTTGTCAAAATCAGGATGGTGCTGAGATACACATGTAGTATCCATTCAACAAAGTGCACATGCCAACTAGAAAAACTGAGGGGAAATGGGAGCAGAATCTTATGAACATTGATTTCACTGCCAACTCTTGGGTTAAATCAACAGTTTGTGAAACAATGCGTGGATTTAAATAGGAAGGAACATCTTTGTACATCTTTTTTTTTGGAAGTAGTAGTTACAGGGGCTTCCTCTAACTCTACGTCCCATCATTCTAATTTAGAAGTGGCCCAGCATATTTGAAGAGCACCAGATGGAAGGAGATTGATTTAGAGGAGCTGTGTAAAACATATAATGTGATTATATGGTGTAGGAAATACAGTAACACTAGCTGTTTTTATTATTGATGGGCATGAACAGGATACAACATGGTATCAAATGATCAGTAGCTATCTAAAACAATAAAATAATGTGTCTATTTGTTAGGTATAAGTCCAAGTCATGAAGCCTAGGTACTTGAAACCTGGCATGCTTACTATAGGAACCTATATAACATCATGTACCTTGGAGCTATTTGGTTTCAAAAATATATTAATTTTAATTAGTTTAAATTTGTATCTGTTTGCAGCCTGCAGTGCCAACATCAATCTCTAGATGGCAGATTTCCCTAACTACCACATAACTTTGGGTAATTTCCATATCATTTGAATTTGGGAGTAGAGTTTGGGGGCAGTCTCCTTTATAGGTATGGAATGGACAGACTTTTCACTTAGGAGATGAACTCTGCCATTGGACTATCTGAACTGGCCCAGCAGTCACAGGCTCCCTCAGACAGATGAGTACAATTTATTCAACCCTGACAGCTGTGGAACATAGCTGGAAGGTGTATCAGACAAATAGGTATTTGAACTCCCACAAAGCCAGGAATTTTAATTAGAAAGAAGCATAGCAGAGAATATTGTGAGTTTTGTTATTTCATGGTGGCTTTGCTGCTCAGTTAGCCCACCAGCATCACACAATCGGTGTATATCTCAGTGGTCAACTGCTGCTTAACTGCACTGCTTAACTGTACTGACTATTTAACTGACAGTTAAATAGTCAGTGCAGGCATTGTTGGTACCAGCTTGGCACACAACACCAAATACTTATGCTGACTTCCTAACTTGTTGCACGTTGCTGCTGAGATTTACACTGATTGCATCACACCAGAGGATAAATACAATAAGATTCCAGGTGCTGTCTTAAATATGTGTTGGGTGCAGGCTATTTTTTAAAAAAGATGAATATACATTAGTCCCTGTGCCAGATAATCCAAAAATTATCTTCCTAGATTATGTGGTTGATGGCTTCTCATAACATTGAAGAGAATAAGGCTGCAATCCTGTAAATACACACTCAGGAGTAAATCTGCTGAACTCAATAGGGTCTGTTTTTGAGTAGACCAACATGGGATTGCATGGTATGGCTGCAATCATAAAGCCAGTTTCCTGAGTGTGAGACCCATTGAACTCAAAGGTACTTGGTTTTGAACAGACATATATGTAGTATTGCATTATGACCAATGAATGTCATTATTGTCACAAATCAGTTATAACCTTTGCAAAGTCTATTGGTATTCTTGATGGGTGAATGGCTCAGGAAGGTCTCTAAGAGGTCACAAGAGTGGTTGCATTAATGCAGTGTATGCAACAAAAAACATGTATTCTTATAGGCAATTGCTTCAAACGTTATGCCCCCTTTGGTTATGTATCATTGATTGCACCATGGTGAATTTATATATTTCCTCTCTGTGCAACATAATCTTAAATCCATTTACGGGCACTTGAGTAAACCACCGAAAACAAAGACATCTATCCATGAGTAAAGATAATCAAGATTGCACTGTTAATCTCATATTTCTTTTATCGATAGCTTGTCTTCAGACTTCGAGTCAACTCACCCAAATTAATGAAAATTAAATAAGCGTTTTAACCATAGAGTAGATCCACCATGATCAATGGGCCCACTGTAATCATAATCAAGTCTAGTTCTAACCCTGTCTCTTTATCTGAATAATCAAGGTGTTACAAAGGTTTTACCCGGGGTTTTTATTCCATTTTGTTGCAATTGAAAAACAATTCTTTATGAAAAAAAGTATACGAACAAATTAGTCCTCTGTTTATATTCTAGGACTCTGTTTGCAGGCCTGCTTGTAAAATCCAAAATGTTGTGTTGAATACCCTTGAATATACTGGCAATTGTTTCAAGCGAGACTGTAGTTTAGAAATCACCCTTAAAAAAAAAAACACACACACACACAGAAATATACATTCCAATCGGGGAATCTGAAAGCATACATTTTGGACTACAACTCCTAGAATTCCCAAGCCAGGATGGTCACACACAGTTTCACTATGTAGCTTTTCAAGGGATGTGCATTCGATTCGAAGCGACATCTGCCTTCACATTCCAGTGTGACCTCCGTCTCATGCTAGACTGGAATCTGAAATAATACTGACGTTGAATTCATCAAACCAGAACTCAAAGAGTAAACAGAAACGGCATCAAATTAAGAGTGCCTCTCCACGCCATGAGTGGCGGGAGATTCAAGATAGGTACAAAGAGTGCTTGGGAAAGATCACTTTTTGATTGTATATGCCTCAGAATCCCCTAGGTGTAGGATTCTGGGACATGTCATCCAAAAGGAACTTTTTGGAGCTCCAGTGAAACTTGTAGAACTTGCTACCATGACATGCCATGATGGCCACCAACCTGGACAACTTTAAAAGGAGATTGGATCAGGCCGAGGAGGCTGGGATGATCAGTGGCTACTAGTCATCACCCTGATGCAAAATATGCACCCTCCTGGTTCAGAGGCATTGCACCTCTGCATAGCAGTCATTGGGGGTCAGGAGCAGCTGCACTCGGATCCTGCTGGTAGAATTCTCATTGCTGTCTGGTTGGCCACAGTGCGAACGCTGAACTACGGTAAGTGAGCCTTTGGTCTGACCCATCATGGCTTTTCTTGTTTTTTTTGTACGTTTTTTTTTTAACAAAGAAGAATCTCCCATATCTTTGTCAGTAAAGCAATATATGGGCTGGCTGGATCGCTCAGTGAGTTATGTCTCAGAATCCCCTAGGTGCAGGATTCTGGAACATGTCATCCAAAAGTTACCTAACTCAACCTTGGGCCTCCAGATGTTCTTGGACTTCAACTCCCAGAAATCCTGGCCAGCAGAGGTGGTGGTGAAGGCTTCTGGGAGTTGTAGTCCAAGAACATCTGGAGGCCCAAGGTTGGCGACCACTGAGTTAGGTAAATGGCTACAGAACCCAAGGTGTGTGTGTGTGTGAGGGGGTTTCTTTCCCACTGCGCCTGCCAGGAGAAGAGCCAGCCTTGGTAGCCTTGGGCCAACTGCGCAGCCTCTTGTAGAAGGGAGTGGTAAACTACATCTGAGTATTCAACACCCAGAATAACCTTGAAAAGGGTTGGCATCGGGCAGAATTGACTTGCCAGCACATAATCATTATTGAAGCAATAGACTGGACTCAGTTGAAAAGGGAGCAAGCAGGACGCGAGGAGGCAAGGATGATGTATCAATATCGATACGAATGGCTAACTAGCGCTAAAGCTTGGCTTGAATCAAATCCTAGATTGAGGATGGCATGTTAACGGTGCTAGGAAGACTCAAAAGAGGTACGGTGGACAGTGCCTGTGGTCTCATTCTGCTGGTTTTGGGGATGATGGCTTAACTGGTGGAAGAGCTAAGGCAGTGTTTCCCAACCTGGCGCCCTCCAGATATACTGGATTACACCTCCTGTTACTCCTCAGGCAGAGTAGCGGAGTCAAGTCGGTCACATCATGGGGAGGTGGGTTGGGTTGGGGGGGGTCAGGTTGGAGAATTTAGAGCTTCAAGGGTTTCTGATTTAGAGGCCACTTTTTCCAGAGGTACACATTCACAGTCAGGACAGGAGAAATATGGTTGGGTTTTCCATCGTGAAAGTGAAGCAAAAATGGGGAGGCCACCAAAAATGCCCATGAAAATGGAAGCCTGCACAGTGCATTATGGGAAAAGAAGTGGGGCTGGATGAAACCCAGAGGCAGTAGAAGATGCCGGATTCCAGGGGCAACTGGCTAACAAGATGGCGGGGAAGCAAGGAAACTATTCCACCTGGGGAAGCAAAACGTGTATGAGTTAAGCCCCCCACTCCCCCGAATCTCCTGATTTTCCCCATTGGTCGTAGCTTACATTGCTTTCCATTGCAACTCTAAGTTTGCTTAATGAGAAGTAAGGCCCCCTGCATTCAGTAAGGATGTGCTTTCCTTACTTCCAGGAAAGCACATCCACACAGGACTGCACTCTGGATGACTTTGCTGATACAGAGGAGCAGGCAGTGGTATTTCTACCACTCTCCGAGTGAAGGCACCCAATGCTCAGGCATATACATACTTGAATGAAGAAAGGTGGGCCCATTTTGTGTGCACATTCCCACACCACCAAGACAGCTTTCTCCCTTATCTCGCATGGAGACTGAATGCACAGGCACTTGAGCAACAGGGCAGGTATGGTGGCGGGCCACCGTTGCGTTTGGCAAGATGGCAGGGTGGCTCAAAGCACCCTGCCATCTTAATGAGAGCCCATCGCTGGGATACGGCACATCACAGCTGCCTGGAACTAATTGCTCCACCCCGGGTCTTCATGGTCATTTGAAGAAGGGGCTGGTGGGAAGAGGGTGCCCGAGGGTCAAATTAGACAACGCAGCCAGCCCATCCTTGAAAATCGATCCATGGGAGGTCAGCACAGGCTTTAGGTGCAAGTCGGTCCTTCGGCCATGCATCTTTAAGGGAACTGCATTGCTGGAGGACAAAAAGGTTGGCCCCTTTCGGCTTACAAAAGGGTCGCCTTGTCTAGTTTGACCCCCCTAGTACAGAGCTGCATTATGGGCCTCCAGAAAGCGTAGAGGTGGGGGGCAAAGCTGAAATGGAAACGGGCAGGGCCAAAGAGGATCAAGCTAGAGAGTTAGTGGTGTTCTTGGCCTAGGAGACGTCAGGTTGATATACTCCGGCCAGTCTCCTGAGCCCTGCTGTCCTACGTTGAGCAAGAATGGGGCGAGAGTATATCGAGACTGGTATGCATAGGGATGGGTTGAAGGGTTTTTAACAGACTCAGTCTTCTCCGAGCAGCAGCAGAACAGCCAGTCAGAAATCGGTGTCTCAATCTATGGAATATGGACAGCATTACAAATCCACATCAGCTTTACAGAGCAACAGAGACAAGCCGAGCCGAGCTCCAGACCGCCTCCTGCAGCCTAGCCCAGCCCATAGCAGAATCCAGAGTCTACCTTACCACAAGACGGAAGCAAGCTAGCATGCAAAGGCTGTAGGTTTTGTTCTGAAGAGACGATGCAGGTCAAAGGGGGAAAAGAAGAAGAAGGGGGGGCAATTCCCTCGTTCATTAACAAAAGGAGGAGAATTTAAAAATTAAAAAACAAACAAACGAATGTAAAAGGTGGCAGAGATTGTCTGCCAAGCATCACGTAACCTCAGTTAGGGTCCACCAGGAAGGTTCCGGTAAGTGAATGAAATCCATTTCCTGGGAAAGTGCTCCTCGGTCTTTTCTTCGGAGAAAGACACACGACAGTCCACACCTCGGCTTCGCTTCCGGGAGCAGCCCGAGATTCCTGTCTCCCCGCAAGCCTCGGGGAGGAGAAGTGCCAAGGTTTTCTTTCACAGCATTGGCCAGTTTCCGCTTTCTTCTTCATCATCATCATCATCATCTTCTTCTTCTCTCTCTCTCTCTCCCCGAAAACCCTTCACTGTAGCGTCCCATTCTTGGAATGCGAAGGCGAAGCCAATGCACATCCACGGATGCTCCATCTCCCCTTTCCTGTCACCGAGCTCCTCTCAGGAAAGGGTTTCCTCTTCCGCGACTCAGCTTTTCCACCCCAACCGCGAATGACGCCGACCGTTTCCACAATAGGCCCGACTGGGTAAGAGCCCTGCTTGGGAAGGCCTTCAAGAGGACTAGCTCCCTTATTCTTCCTTCACAAACCACCCGGAAACCGGGCGGGAGAAGAGGTGAACGTCGACCCGCCACAACCTGAAGCATCTGGACGGGGGCCACGTCGATCCAGCACTGAGCGGCCACAGCGTGCCCACCAACTCAGCAATCTACCATTGTGGTTTCTTGCTCACATTTTCACCCTTTTGTTTCTTAATATATATATATATATATATTTAATTTTTATTTTTGTGTTTGTTGTGTTTTTTTGTTTGAATCACCATTATTTTTTTCCCTCCAGGAAAAACAAAAGGGGGGGGGGAAGTTTCAGGAAAGGTCACTACAAGGAAGACAGGAGATGATGGAGGCACGAGGATTTACAAACACGAGGAGGGATACTTCCACGCTGTTGTCGCCACCACAGCTTCTGGGATGCGACTACGCCTGCCGAGTGTGTTGTCCTTTCAGACGATCCGACTCGTATCGTTCAGTACGCATTGCGTTGCTGCTGTTGTTTTTCCTCTGCGCGCCTCTGTGGTTTATAGTCACAGCATCTCTCCAGGAAAAGAAAAAAAAACCTAGATATTTATATATATTATATATTTATATATGTATATTTATATATTAAATGAATAAATAAAACCATGACTCTGATTGGTTGGTCAGTGCTGGGTTGGGCTCGGAGGACATGGCTCCAGACGCTGGTCAAATTCTTCCAGGGAGCTTCTTATTCAATCACCATGCAACGGGGCAGGTGCTGTGAAAAATACTTGAACAGCTCCGGAGTGGCCCCAGGGCAATTGGTCAACTCCAATTCTTCCAGGTCTTGAAGCTGTACCAGGCCCGAAAGTCCAGTAGTGGTCAGTAGAGGACAACCTGAAAAACCCAAAGTCAAAAAGCACCTGGTAAGTAAGAAGTCCTGTCTTATACACCTACACATTATCTTTTTAAAAAAGAAAAAATGAGACAGATAAGTAATAGACACCTGCTTATTATTACAAAGCAAGCCCTCTTAAGAAGATATGAGCATGCCCAGAGATGATGGGACATGTAGGCCAGCAGGACTGGAAGGCGTCAGCAGGATGGGGAAGGCTGTATATCTTATTCTTCTTACCTTGGAGGAGGTAACATTAAAAGGTAGCATGCCAAATGCATGTGTGTGGATGTGGGAGGAGGGAATGCACCGAAATCTCATTTTTTGGTGAAACCTTAGAGTCCAACCCAACACAAGCAACATTTTCAGAAGGCCCGATTCTATTTTCAGATCTGATACTTGAAGTCATGCTCATTCCACGCTGGATTGTGTTTGTTTGTTTGTAGGAAACAAGTATAAGATGGATCGACTCACTAAAGAAGCCACAGTCCTAAATTCACATGAGCTGAGCGGAGCAGGGCCGTTGATAAGCAGACCTTTTGGAGATCACTCATACATAAAATTGCTATAATTCAGAGGTAATTTGATGGTCCATGACAACAACAATAAAAACAGCCATGGAAACTTTCAATCAGTTGTCCATTAAGGTTTATTAGCAATAGGCTTGTTTGTTTGTTTGTTTGTTTGTTTGTTTGTTTGTTTGTTTGTTTGTTTGTTTGTTTGGTTGGTTGGTTGGTTGGTTGGTTGGTTGGTTGGTTGGTTGGTTGGTTGGTTGGTTGGTTGGTTGGTTGGTTGGTTGGTTGGTTGGTTGGTTGGTTGGTTGGTTGGTTGGTTGGTGCTCTATGATTTTATTCAGAGATGGGGAAAGTAACTTTTAGGACTACAGATCTGAGGACAAGCTGGCCAGCACGCTATTTTGAAAATTGTGTCCCAAAACAGTGCATTTCCCCATCTCTAGAGGTATGATACTTTTGCAAACCATGGGGCCCATGGGTGAGCTGATAGCTCCTCCTTGTTTCTTAGTGGTCCAGTTTTGTCTGCATAATTGTGAACACTCACCCTCAAAATTTACTATCAGGATGAAAAATATCTAATACATCACCTTTCAAACTACAGCAAAGCTTGTTGGAGGTGACCGGATATGATCACCATGAAGAAGATGTCCTTCTTTGTTTTTGGAGGGGTAGCTAGAGAGAGAAGGACCTCCTCAGGCTTCCTAGACCATCCTTGACCTGCCCTGATGTATGCTGACCCTGGTCAACCGAGCGTGATTTTTAGGGTTGCTAATGTCGCTTCCTTTCTCACATCTCTTCCAGTCACTGGGGAAGAACAGAAGGGAGACCCTGACTTAGTTCTCATCATCTAATGGGGCTGAAATGAGTTTCTGCATCTCTGTTTTACTTAGGATGCTATCAGGCAGCGATAAGGGATTATACAGTATCTGGTTGCACCAGAAAAGGCCATTTTGCCAAGAGTGACCTCCCTTAAAGCAAACCTTCAGCTGATGATGGGAATTGCTCTGGCCTGAATCCTCAAAATAGTAGCCCTGCTGCTACTGGACCAAAGATGTGCAGCTTGGGCATGGATTGGGGTTGGGCTGGAGCACGATTTCCTGTACAATATGGGATTGCTGAGATGTACTGTCGTTTGCACAGGAACACACAACAAGTTGTCCTAAAGGTGAGGTAGATGCCCCTGTGATTGGAGCATGTACTGCTCTGATAACATACCAGCCTTACTGCTATTGGACCAAAGATGTGCAGCTTGGGCATGCATTGGGGTTGGGCTGGAGCACGATTTCCTGTACAATATGGGATTGCTGAGATGTACTGTCGTTTGCACAGGAACACACAACAAGTTGTCCTAAAGGTGAGGTAGATGCCCCTGTGATTGGAGCATGTACTGCTCTGATAACATACCAGCCTTCTTATATTCTTCAAATAAGAAGAGTGGGTGTTGTTTCTTTCCAAAAGGGAAACATGTGCTCTCTAAGCCATTCTGGAATTGAATGAAGAAGATGTCCTTCTTTGTTTTAGGAAGGGTAGCTAGAGAGAGAAGGACCTCCTCAGGCTTCCTAGACCATCCTTGACCTGTCCTGATCTATGCTGACCCTGGTCAACCTAGCGTGATTTTTAGGGTTGCTGATGTCACTTCCTTTCTCACATCTCTTCCAGTCACTGGGAAAGAACAGAAGGGAGACCCTGACTTAGTTCTCATCTCATCAAATGGGGCTGAAATGAGTTTCTGCATCTCTGTTTTACTTAGGATGCTATCAGGCAGCGATAAGGGATTATACAGTACCTGGTTGCACCAGAAAAGGCCATTTTGCCAAGAGTGACCTCCCTTAAAGCAAACCTTCAGCTGATGATGGGAATTGCTCTGGCCTGAATCCTCAAAATAGTAGCCCTGCTGCTACTGGACCAAAGATGTGCAGCTTGGGCATGGATTGGGGTTGGGCTGGAGCACGATTTCCTGTACAATATGGGATTGCTGAGATGTACTGTCGTTTGCACAGGAACACACAACAAGTTGTCCTAAAGGTGAGGTAGATGCCCCTGTGATTGGAGCATGTACTGCTCTGATAACATACCAGCCTTCTTATATTCTTCAAATAAGAAGAGTGGGTGTTGTTTCTTTCCAAAGGGGAAACATGTGCTCTCTAAGCCATTCTGATTCCCAATGGCAGGACCCATGAGTTAACTTAGAGTGTGAGCAGTTGGGGATCGATCTTTTAAAGGGGAAGAAGGGCCAAAGAGGGTTGCTTGAGGTGCAGGGTGGTCAGTCCTTGCATGTGGATGCAAGGATGGCCCCCAATGACATGCCACGCTTCAAAGCAACCTCGTTGAGCCCAATTTAGCTAGATCCAGATTGCGGTATTTTCGCCATCTCGTCACTTAGCTGCTGTTTACTGCTGCTTGCTTTACAAACACTTATTGCAGCTGTTGCTGTGTGCCATCACGTTGGATCTGGCTTCTGTTCAGGTCGGCCTTAGCTTGTGATCAATCCTTATTTCAGCTCTTGCTGTGTGCCATCAGGTTCGTTCTGGCGTCCGTTCAGGTCGGCCTTAGCTTGTGATCAATCATTAAAAAGTAAAACAGATTTCGTTTGGAAGTCTGATTCCCTGGGCACATACGGTATATTTGTGGGAATTGCATCTCTTTAAATGTCTAGTTCTCAAAATTTGACTCTCACCAGCAAGAGATAAGAGGCGTAAACTTCTCATTCCCAGAAGATGCTTTAGGCCGAAGTCTTGAATCTGAAACAGTGGAGAAGAAAAGAGGCTTATGAACCAGAATTGCCAACACACTACAAATGAAGTATGTTTGCTACATATGTTCTGTATATATGTTCTCCCTAACAACTCAGACCTTACTGTGGGTGAAATCTAGTGGCAGTCAACTAAAAGCAGTTTGGAATGCCCCGGCTGCAGAGATCCTCCAGGCTCCAAACACATTTTCTTTCACTCACCAGATGAGTGTTGTTTATATACAGTATTGACCATATGTTTATTGTGCTTTCCACCGAAACAGTTCCTAGTGTGTATTCTCAAAGTTCCTAATGTGCTTTACAGATATCAGATTTTACCCCTTACTAAGCTTGAGTTTTATCCAGAGATGGATGATGATGATGATGATTGAAAACACCAGGCACTGTCAAAATTATAAAAAAACATTGACTGGTATTATATAGCAGATACTAGTTTTTGTCCAAAACCTGTTAAATATCGATGTAATATGTATGATGTTCTTAATAATGCTGTTTTTGGAGCTCTGATGGTGTGATTAATCAATATGTATTTTGTTCTTAATAATGCCGTTTTTTGGAGCTCTGATGGTGAGATTTCCGAGATCTGCCACTGCTTATAGTAGTGTGTGAAATTTCTTGATAGTGTTCCCAAAGCCCCAATGACTACGGGGACCACTGAAGTGTGTTTCTTCCTTCCGATGGCCAGGTCTCTGTACTTTAATTGTTCCAATTCTTTATTTTCAACTCTGGCATCCCCTGGAATTGCAATGTCAATGAACCGGACATTTCTTCATTCTATTAATATTATATCTGGTTTGTTATATTCAAGATGTCTTATATGTTTGGATCCAGAAATATCACAAGATCTTGACTTCCTCATTTATATCCCCCCAAGTGTAGCACAAGAGCCCCCAGGAATATTTTCCATCCTTCCCGCCTCCTTCTTTTTCTCACTGTCAGGACTCAAAGAACTACGTTGTCTTGTTCCCATGGCCTACCTGGCAGCACCAGCGGAGGTATAGGTTCCTTAGGGATGACATGGTCGACAGATAACTGAGTCCTGTATCTGTGATCCGTACGCACCTGTGGAAGAGGTGGGAAATGGCACCTTTTAGAACAAAGTTGTGAAAGCCAAGAGGGAAGGGAAGGTTGGAAACTTTAAATCAGGGTTGCTTAACCTGTGTTTCTAGTGCTCTATGAAAAGATGTGTGTGCAGAAAGGGTACCAGAAAAAAAAAAGACAGAGGAAGAAATAAGGATAAGAGAAAGAGAGGTAGAAAGGAAGTGAAGATAATCTAGAAAACAGGGCGTCAGGAAGAAAAAGAAGGCTGGCAGAAAGAAGGGGACAGGCAAGTCTGGCAGAGAGAAAAAGTGAAATAGGGGTGGCAGAAAAGGGAGAAACAAGAGAGAGAGAGAGAAATTGGATTGTCAAAAAGAAGAGGTCCTCTCTTTTCAAAGACCAGAAAAAGTTACTTATTTTAAACTGCAAATGCCAGAATATCCCAGCCTGCATGGGCAGTCCTTTGGAAGTTGTAGGGCGGAATTCCTGGGGATGTTCCTGTAGCTAGCCAATCAGTGCTGTGCACCGCTGGGAAGATGTAGAACTCTTCCTCTCACTAACCTCGTCACAAGAGATCAGCTCTGCGGAGGCATAGGTGAAGCCGAAGCCCCTGCCAGTGTTTGGTGTGATTTCCTGCAGATGCTTGGACAGCTTAACAAGCAGGCAGTGACAGGTTGTGGAGCAGCGGATCTCAATCTCTGTCCCTCCAGGAATATCGATTCCCAGAATCCCTGGCCATTGGTCATGCTGACTGTGGGTGTCTTGGTTCCTGGGAGCAGAGGTCTAAAACATCTGGAGAGCCAAAAACTGCCGATCATTGTTACAGAGGTGTCCTTGGTTGTGCCATGCCTGTTCTGACATAAACCTGAGCCTGCATAGCCAATGGTTAGGAATTATGGGATTTAGAATCTAAAACATAGGGAGGGCTATAGGATTCCCCCCATCAGTGTCCCAGTGCAAATCTGGTGGAAGCAACAGTCGTCGGCGTCTAGTCGTTTAGTCGTGTCCGACTCTTCGTGACTCCATGGACCGGAGCACGCCAGGCCCTCCTATCTTCCACTGCCTCCTATCTTCCACTGCCTCCTATCTTCCACTGCAGCAGTACCCCTTATTTAATGGCTTTTAATGTGGGACTGCATCCGCTCTCTGGGGCGTCTTAAGAACAGCTCTATTGCTAATCTGGACATTGTTTTTAATCGGTCGTTTGGGACTTTGATTTAACCTTTGGTACAGCATCTCTGGGGCTCAGTTAGGGCAGAAAGGGGGAGTTGATAAATTGATAAAGACAGATCTGAGCAACGGATGCACATTTGGTAAAAGACAACGTGTGCATCACTCTGGGGCCAGATGCTGATGGCATGTGCTACATCAGTGGGCAGAGATGGGCATGGACCATGGTCCAGTTCATCACCAAGGGAACAGCTTGACAAGTTCCTTTTGATGGTTTTACCTTGCCCATATGCAAGGTACCTTGCCCATGTGCCTGCTCTGGAACTTGATCCTCAGATCATCCTTGCTCACATCTATTCATGTATTGATTTAGGATACAGTGGTGCCTCGCTAGACTTTTACCCCGCATGACAGTTTTTTTTTGCTAGACATTGACTTTTTGTGATCGCTATAATGATTCGCAAAACAGTGATTCCTATGGGGCAATTTTGCTGGACAATGTTTGGTCCCTGCTTCGCAAACTGATTTTCGCTGGACAACGATTTTGACAGCTCCCTCCATGCTCGCAAATCGGGTGTTTTCGGGACCTAAGCTTCGCAAGACAGCTATTTAAACAGCCGGTCGGCAGTTCGCAAAGCGGCTTTCCTAGATGACGACGATTCTTCCCTACAGGTTTCAATGCATTCCAATGGGGAAATGCTTTTCACTAGACGATGATTTCGCTAAACAGTTATTTCAGTGGAATGGATTATCATCGTCTAGCGAGGCACCACTGTATTCTTATTCTCCTGTATATCCTGAAATATAAATTTTATATATATCTCCTAAGAGCTCAAGCATGGCTAGGGGGGAAATTTTTCCACCTAAAAATATGTGATTTCCCGCATAAAAATGATGCCTCCAGGGGCATAATTCTCTCTCCTAATCCATTTTCACAGGAACTGGTCTCTTCAGAAACCCAGAGCTCAATTTAAAAAACAAACACAAAACCTGCATATGAACTGGTGGTCACTTCTAAGTTTGCCTTTCTTTCTTTGTATCAGAGCATTGAGCCATTTAAAATTTGGAGCCTATGTGAAATATAGGTAAAATTAAAAGCAAATTAAACTGTTAAGATTATTGGACTATTTTAGACCAGAAGCAGGCTACTTTAATAGCGTTATCTGTGCCGTTTGCCAGGTCTTCTTTGGTACGTATGGTAGGGCATAAGCCGCATGAACATAAACGCTGCATTGAATGGATTTCTCCACGGTCACAGAAGATCTGCCTTGTACCCAGGTAGTCCCCCTTTACTTGGTTATTCATCGATCTTTCCTACTTCTAGGTTTGTAAAAAAAAGTGGTGTGTCCAGCTTTTATGGGGTTCTGGGGCCAGGGATGGGAGAGGGCCATTAAGAAGTAGACTCCTTGGCTCTCTGGGTGTCAGGGAATGACTGTGTTTTTCTGGGTCTCTAGGCCAGGAGGTGGTTGAGGAGAAGAAAGCCAGATCTGTGTGAGCCTGAAGGGGTTTTAAAGGCCAGCAGAGGCTGGTTTGCCAGGATTTCTGGGCTCAGCGTGAAAGGCTTTTGATGTGGACTAGACCTTGCTTGCCATCAGCTCCCCGGAAAGCCAAGAGCAAAGGAGCAACAGGAGGGGGTGTTTTTCTGGGTCTCTAGGCCAGGAGGTGGTTGAGGAGAAGAAAGCCAGATCTGTGTGAGCCTGAAGGGGTTTTAAAGGCCAGCAGAGGCTGGTTTGCCAGGATTTCTGGGCTCAGCGTGAAAGGCTTTTGATGTGGACTAGACCTTGCTTGCCATCAGCTCCCCGGAAAGCCAAGAGCAAAGGAGCAACAGGAGGGGAAAGAGCTAGCAAGCTTTGGCCCATCAAGTCATCAGTGCTAAGGCGCAGAGTTAAGAATTGCTACCCAATGCCCTCCTACCCAATGCCTTCCTGTGCCTAGAAGCTCTGGAGGGACCATTGGGCTAGCCTGGCTTTATACAGCTTCTGAGCCCCTTTAATGGCTGGATAGTTCTGTGGTTCTCAAGTCTCTGGCTGCAGAACCAGAGTCCGCTTCCTCCACGGTGCCTCCTGGACAGGGGCTGGCCTGGATGATCCCTAGAGCCCAGTCCAGCTCTACAGTTCTAAGATGACGATGACTGATACTCATCGTCGTCCTGTCTCTTTCCAAATCATTTGCCCCCAAACAGCTTCAACTCTCATTTCCCAGCCCTCAGTGACATCCCAGGGGACGTGGTGCCAAGGACGTGGTGACCTGGCAACCTAGTGGTGAAGCTTCTACTGGTCTCTTGGGTGGTGTTGCCCACCTTGCTTTATCTCATCGGAGTTTGGCCTCTGCCCAGGGCTTGGTCAAAGGCCATCCCAGGCTTGGCCATAGCCAACTTTCCAACCGTTGACCCCAATTCTTGCTGCACCCGCTTCTCAACCTCTCCCACTCCCATCCTTCATCCCATAAACCCATCAGGGAGGTGGTTTCCTTACCTACCTATCAAGCACCAGCTCTTCCAGCTTGTGCAGGTCGCAGGCGATGTACTCGAGGGCCATGTCCGTGATCCGAGGGCACCACGAGAGGTCCAGGCTGCGGAGCTTCCGCAGGTTCTCGGCCACCAACTCCACCCCGTCGTCGGTCACTTTGGAGCAGCCGGAGAGGCTCAGGACGCTCAGGTTCGGCAGGCTGTGCACCATGTTGACCACGCCGTGATTGGTGATCTCCCAGCACGAGTTCAGGCGGAGGGTGTGGGTGGTGTAGCCCTGCTTGGCCGTAAAGTAGGCCAGGGCGGTGTCCGTCACGTGGTAGGCCTGAAGGTTCAGTTCGGTCAGGTTGGGCAGGAGCTGGGAGATGGCGGCGATGGCGTCGTCGGCCACGTTGATGCAGTCGCTGACGCTCAGGGAGGTGATGCGGGCGTTCAGGCTCGACCAGAGACCCGCCTCGGTGAAGTCGTTGCACCCGGACAGTTCCAGCCGCATGACTCCCTGCATCTGTTCGAGCATCACCTGTAAAAGGGAACGCACACACGCTGCTGAAAAGACAACACCCATGGCATGCATCAAGTAACCCGTTGAGAATCAGCAGGATTCAACAAAGAGGTAGAATATTTTCCTCTCTCTTGCTGCTTCTGCTTATTTACATCTGGATTGCTACTCCGAGGCTCGCTTCTTTCCTACATTCTACTCACTGGCTTTTTCTTCTCCTTGCTAGAGGGGAGGCAGCAGAACACGGGCTTTCTGTAAGGATGGCCAGTATACAAGGAAGTTAGTTTCAGGAGTTTCTGTAACTGTGTTTAGGGATTTTTGTTCCTCCTCTATTTATGAACAGATTTCCTTAGGCAATGGAAAGTAAGTTTTTCCCCTCTTTTGCCTTACTACCAGTTTCCACAGTGATTATTTCTACTGCATAATCACAAGCTCTGCGCTAGACTGCCGTACTTTGTCCTCAGAAATACCAAACAACCCTTTAATTTAATTTATTGAGGTATCTAATGTGTTCCCCTCCAAGAGGTCCTTTAGCTTTGGATACACAGTATAAAAGATATGATATATTCGGGACCATGGGGCCAGAAGTGAGATATTTATTTCTGAGAACTCACACAGATGAAACACTGGATGGGCTTCATATGTGGTGATGGTATTTTTTTTCCTACCATCCAGATGATGTAAGACTTAAACAAGTGCCAACTGTGACAAAGTGTAGTAAAACAGCTTCAGGATCTGTCCTTCCAGTGAGCACTCAGGGTTGATTTCTTTCAAAATGGATAGGTTTGTTCTCCTTGCAGTCCAGGGGACTTTCAGGATCCTCCTCCAGCACCACAATTCAAAAGCATCAATTCTTTGGCGGTCAGCCTTCTTTATGGTCCAGCTCTCACTTCTATACATCGCTATAGGAAAAACCATAGCTTTGACTATGCGGACCTTTGTCAGCAAGGTGATGTCTCTGCTTTTTAAGATGCTGTTGAGGTTTGTCATCGCTTTCCTCCCAAGAAGCAGGCGTCTTTTAATTTCATGGCTGCTGTCACCATCTCCAGTGATCATGGAGCCCAAGAAAGTAAAATCTGTCACTGCCTCCATATCTTCCCCTTCTATTTGCCACGAGGTAATGGGACCAGTGCCCATGATCTTAGTTTTTTTATGTTGAGCTTCAGACTACCCCCCCCCAAATTTTTTTGTAGGGATCATTTCTTGAGCTTCCTCCACATTTTGAAAACAGTGGGTTTTGATTCGCAGCATCTATTTCCTGCCATGAGAATCTTTCACTTTGGTGCTAATGCACTTTAGCACTAATGCACTAAAGCAAAAGGGGGAAAACAGCCAGCAGACAAGATCATTTTGAAGCTTCTTAATGGACCATATAGGGGTTCTTGAAATACTCCAGACTTTATGAAATATTTTTCACCTAGCATTAAAGGAATTCTGATTGATAAAAAGGGAAGAGAAGTAGAGAAACGTGGACCCAAATCCTGACAAGATTGGTGCTTAAATGGCACGAAACCAGGACGAAGCTGGAAGACCAAATACTCTGTTTAGGCAGGTCACACATTATTATATTGCCACAGAGAGGAGAACAGGATCTCATCTGAAGACATACTTAAGATTTGTAGGAGTGGAGAACTAGCATTGCCAGCTTCCCTTCAGCATCAGATTGTGTCTCCCTAGGGAACAACACACAGGAGCTTTTTTTTAAAAAAATCTGTGATCCCTGACCACAGATGCTTTGATTTCTGAGTATTAAAATTACCCCCCCCAGCTGTTGGCTCAGCTGCTGAGGTGCTGTGGAATATTTGTTTCCACGTGCTAAGCATTATTGTTAGGGTCTGGATATAAATAGGATGCCTAATGCTCTGCCAAGTAGAAAGGAAACACATCATTAAAATCAGAGGACAAAAGAGGGCATCAGTTTGCATAGGATTTGCGACGGACTACTTTTTATGAATAATGCAAACTGGGAAATAATTAAGGCTACATTTCGAACGGAAGCACAGTATGGCTCGCCATAGCAGGGAAAATTTTGACCAGATGACAAGTGGACTGACGGCTCGGCCTGGACCTTCAAGTAGCGTCTGAAGTCCAGTTTAGAGATGCAGAACCATAAGGAGGGAGAGCCTTAGGAGAAGGACCTGGAAGTGAACCATCAAGAGTCAGCATACCTGGATGGCAGGTAAAAACATCAGGCACGCAGGCCACCCGGTCACAGGAAATGTACTGTGTTTCTAATTAAAGCAAACCTTTCTAAATTTGTATCTGTTGATGTCTTATTGCTGTTGCTGCAGTTATTGTTGCCATTATTCTTGTCTTTGTCATCATCATCGGTGTTATTATTTACAATATTTAGTGTTTTTCTGCCCAAGCAGTGCTTATAGGAATCAGGCGGTATAGAAATCAAATAAATAAATAAATAAACAGAGCTTCTGAAATGAGAGACACAATGAAATAGATAAAACATTAGGAAAAAAAATTCATACTCAGCAAGAAGAAGAATTTGTGAAGTTGATTCTGCTTACAGTGATCCTCCCAGGATTTTCCATAATATTCGGAAGCGGTGTCTTTGCTTAGTCCCGCTTTCTGGTGGTTCTCTGGGATGGCGAAGCTCTCCCAAAGCCACACAGGGGCCGGGGGGGGGGCATAAACTCATCAGCCAACTTCTTCACTTCTCAGGCCTGGCAGCTGCGTTTGCCACGACTGCTATTTCCTCACAACCCAACCAAACACAGAATCTGTGCAAAGGTCTGACAGCTCAGCTCTTCCATTGGAGAGGAAAAGGCTGGGAGGAAACCTTTCCAAAGTAGGTCAAGATTAAGATCATGGACTCTCAGCTTGGCAAATAAGTGCTTCTTTGATCAAATCAAGGCTGAATTTCCACTAGAAGCTAAAATGACTAAAATGAGGCTATTGGACTTTGGACTTGACATAAGAAAAGAAGAGTCACTGGAAAAGGCAAGAATACTAGGAAAAGACTTTGATGTTGGGAAAGTGTGAAGGCAAGAGGAGAAGGGGACGACCGAGGATGAGATGGTTGGATAGGGTCATCGAAGCGACCAACATGAATTTGACCCAACTCCGGAAGGCAGTGGAAGAGAGGAGGGCCTGGCATGCTCTGGTCCATGGGGTCACGAAGAGTCGGACACGACTAAACGACTGAACACACACACTAGGAAAAGGTTGAAGGCAGTAGGAAAAGAGGAAACCTGAACAAGAGATCGATTGACTCCACGGAGGAAGTCATGGCCTTGAGTTTGCAAGACCCATACAGGTTTTTTTTTAAATATCAGGATCTGTTCAAAGTCATGGATTCTTAGGTTCCCATAATTTGGAAGTCACTTGATGGCATACCACACTGAAACCAGCCCCTCTTATGTCATTTTTTTGGCTGATACTTTACTTGTGTTTTTCCCCCTCTGCTGTCTTGAATTTTTTGGGAGATGGGAGGGTTATAAATCGAGACAACAAAGAACACATTGCCAGTGTTATACTAATGGATGTGCAAATTATATGCAAATGCAGCTTCAATTTACAATTCCAACTATTGGCTCTAGGCCTTTTTTTTCATTTAATAATCACATAATTAATCAGTGATGAAGACAGACCACTTGTCTATTAGAATTTTCTAAAATCCATTGACAGCTCTCACTTAAAGACATCTGCTCCTGGGATGGCCACCGCAATTTAATTTCCTTGTGGAGTTAATGGCGTTGCAGTGTCTCTTTAAGCACATTATGGATTCTCCTGCTCACACAACCATCAGCTGATTAACGCAACAGCCAGGCTTTCAGAATAATGAAGAAGAAATTTGGGTATTGTTTCCCAAGTCACTGAAAAACAAAACAAAACCCTGTGTCAAGTCACCGGTACAACTTAAGTCCAACTTGACAGCGTTTCCCATGACTCAAGTCCCCCTATCTCTGCTCGTAAGGTAAACAGAACTCTTTGAGTGCAGGAATTATGCTATTAATGGTACAAAAAAAATATCTGAAAATCCCGTCCCTAATTGTAATACACAGTGCCTGAAGTCACCGTATAACAACAGCACCAAGTAAGGAAAGAAGGTTTCTCGTTGCGATGTAGAAGACTTACTTCAAGGCCAGCGTCTGTTATGGTGGATCTTTTAAGGCTCATGGACTTCACCCCTTTCTTAGACAGGGGGTAGTTATCAATGAACTCGCAGATGTCCAAGTCGGAGACCCCCACCAGGCAGAAGCCCTCAAAGCCTCTGATGGCGAAACCCTGGAGGTTGACGAACTCTTTGTCTCCGCTGGGCACGACGTTATAGAGTTCTTTGGTGTGCAGGACCGGCGTCAGGCCCACCCAGAACTTGGGCTGGTACAAGACCCGCCTCCAGGCTTTACACACCTGGGCCAGGACACACTTCTCGCAAGCCGAAAAGTACATAAACAACCGGTTGAGGATCTTCTCATCCACCGCCAGTTGCGTTTCGGTGGGGGAGCCGGAGAGGCCTCCGAAAGAGGTGACTTCTCCGTTGGCCGGGGACGCCTCGCTAGAGTTCAGCCCCACCACGGCGGCGCTGGAGGGGGATGGCACCCCGCCCAGGGAGGCCAAGGCCAAAGGTGACGCAAGGCTGGGGATGGGCAGGTCACTGTGATTCGCTAAGGCCGGGCTGATGATGGCAGGCACGGATGATGGCTGGCACAGGCGGTTTTTCATAGCTGGGGTCCCTTTGGTGATGCTGGCAGAGCCGAGTCCATTGGCCTGGGCGGGGAGCTTCACAAGTCCATTCCGGGGTAAACATGGGGGCTTGGTATCACCGTTGCTCTGGTTCGACATCTTCCAAGGTTGCTCTGGAAGGGAAAGGAGAAAAAGATTAGGACACACAAGCAAAGACTGGGCTGCTCCTTTAAAAAAAACTATTTATAGTTCCAAGGCCCTTGATAGAAAAGTTCTAAAACCAACTGCTAGTTCCCCAATTCAGGTACCCCACAGAATCTTTGTGAGATACGCCAGGCTGAGAAAAAGCAATTGGCTTGAGGTTATACAGCGAGTTTCGTGGTCAAATAGGAATTTGAATCCAGGTCTCTTGAGTCTCAGCCCAACAATCTAACCACTATGCTCCACAGTCTCTCTTCTCTGTTTCCTCTGAGCATGATTCTCAAAGTGAAAGGGGAAAGCAAAGAAGATTTTTCCCCCCAGTGACAAGTTGCTCACGTGATGATTTTTTTAAACCTTAGCTTCTCTCTAAATGGGCAATAAAGAACTACTATATTTGCAAAAAGTCTGCTCTTGATTTACATCAAAACTGGCACAGTCAGTTTGTTGATGGGAACGCTCACAACGGCCTGCATTTCTTGGGCACTCTTTGGATGATGGCAACTGCAAAATTTGTCAAGCCCCCGCTGAAATGGCAGGCAAAAAAAAAAGTGAATGCATTTCCAGGCTATATTAACAGAAGTACATTCATCAGATCAAAGGAAGCAATAATTTTTCCCCCACCATCACCGATCTTCTGCTTTGTCCTGACATCAGCAGGAAGATTCTATCCACTTCTGCACACTGGCGTTTCAGAAGGATGTCAAGAGGATGTGATGTGACTGGATGAGAACAAGCAAAATCAAGGGTAAAGGCTCTGGAAACGAAGCCACCTGAGAAACAGCTGAAAGAGTTGGGGGTATATTTATCCTGGGGAAGGGAGGCTTGAAAAGTGACATAAAAAACCCCCATCCTCGGATAATGAAAAGTCCATCATATAGAAGAGGCAGCAAGCTTGTTTTCTGCTCTTCCAGAGCATAAGGACACAAAGCAATCAATTCTGCTTACTAGAAGTGAGTCTCCAACTGCAGGAAGACCTTTCAAATGCGGAGTGGAGTTGGACACAGGAACAGGCAGCCTTAGAATCCGGTGACCTGCCCTTCACTGCAAGTTAAATTGGTTACGTTATGTATTATTTTAGTTATATATTTTGTTGGCTGTAATTTTTGTTTTCTATTGCTATTGTGTCTTATAATTCATTAAGATAATTTTTTTAAAGTGGGGTGGTCTTCTGTCAGAGGTGTTTTAGCTGTGGATTTCCAGCCTTGCCAGAAGGTTTGAAGACCCTTGAGCTCCCTTCTAACTGTATAATTCTGTGATGCCATTATTCTGTTATTCTAGCCACCGCAAGAAACTAATCTGCTTTGGAGATCATCCCCATGAAGACAAGAGGGCAATGTGGGTGCTAGCGTTTGTCCCAACCATCATGGCAGCGATGAAGGCATAGTGACAGCATTTGGTTGAAAGGTTGGCCACCATCCCTTGCATGACATTGCTGAAGATCTATTTGTCGTCCTTAAATATGCCTGCTCATTACCACCCTTCTCTTCCGGGACCCTTCCTTTGGCCAGGCCACAAACTCCGCCCCGCCACGGGAGGGTCCCGAATGGCACCAGCTGGCAGCGTGTCACATCCGATTCGTCTTGGGCGCTGACTGCCCTGACCTTGTGGAGTACGAATGGAGGGGCCGCCTCTCAAGAGGCTCGCCAAGATCAGACGTGTTCAAGCAGCCGGGGAGCTGCTGCTGTCTGGCTCCTTTGGATGCTGCATCAGATCACGTGCCGATGCCGGATGACGGAGCCACACTGCTGAGCCAGCTGGCTTAAAGACCCCTTTCCCTCCCCCCTCCTCCCAGATGCATGCTAAATAGTCACTGCTGCTTCTTCCCTGGAAAAAAGCAACCAGGAGGCCTTCGTTTCATTCAAGACGCAAGGAAGCAGCTGCCTGGCAGCAGAAAAGCGACACAGAAGCTGGGGAGTCGGGCAGCCACTTAACACACGACCCTTTCAAAAGGGGACAAAAGGGGACACCGATTGGCATAAAAATCCCCTCTGCTGACATATAGATACAGATGGCACATTCACTGGAGGAGATTCTTAATTGAAACCGAATTATCGTGCATCTCAGTTTCGTGGGGATGATTAGGATGCAACCTGTGGATGATGGCAACATCAGAGCCCTTGATCAGGCCCTACTTCTGGTTCTTTATCTGGAAATCAAACTTGAAAGAGAGGGCTGTCCTCTGATTTCTGGGTGATTTCTTTTCCTGGTTGGGAGCACTAAGGATACTTCAATGACCGACCCTTGGAGTCCATCGTGACCCAAATGTCAGAAAAACTGGACTCGGCAGCCTGTCTAAAAGAGGCAGACTAAGCAAAACGGCACCCTGTCTCTCTGGCATATTGTTTATTCTGCTCTGATAATTATTCTGACAAGACGTTACAGGGATGCCCTGAACGGATTTACCCCCATCTCCCACCCAGGAGAATCATCCTCTGTCAGCCTTTTGGCTTCAGAGGTTTTTCACTACGTGCTTTGGAAAGCAGGATCTTCCCAACTCAAAAGTGATATGAACATGTGTCTTTAAAACAACAACAACAATAACGAAGTCTCTAGGATGTGTCCATTTGCATTTCGTATCAAATTCCACATTCCTATGGCTTCTGCACACCTGTGGAAATCACAGCATATGCTCGGCTCTACCCTTGGACAAATGACAAATACCCGGGCACAGGGGGGTGACTGCTTGGTTATCTCCCCTGCAAAAAGAGGAAATGCATATGCTAATTTATTAAGTATAGGTGCACATTTAGAAATGCTGAGGGCAACTGAAATAGAAACACAGTGCACATCATTACAGTAAGGAAGATAATGACCTGGTGGCTTGGGTGTTCTCCACTCAGTCTGCTGACCAGGTGTTAAGCATTGATCAACATCAAGGGCCCTGCCACCTCCCTTCTTGGAGGCCTTTAGATTTAAACTGGACTGGGGCTGGAAAAATAGAGCAGTCGTTTATAACTCTCGATCCTCCTAATGTTCTGGACGATATTCAGCTCCCAAGAAGGCTCAGCCATCATGGTTGATTGTAGGGGATTCTGGAGTTGGAACACACAACATTTCAGAAATCAAAAGCTGAGAACAACAGAAAGAGCACAGTCTTCAATTAGAGAATGGTCATCTACAAAATAGGACACCTGGCCATTCTAGTTTAAAGTATCTTCATGGTTTCCTGGCCCTTGGGCTCTCCATTTGAGGATTCTTAATCTGTAAACTCTATTTGGTCTGGACAGTCACTCTACTTTAGGATGCTTTCAAAGGGAGGATGGTAGGACAATGATGGGCCACCGTAGTTGTTCATATGCCTAGAGGCATCTCTGTGGACTGGTTTCTCAGTGTGCTATATTCTTAATGACATCATGTGCCATGCTAATGATAGTCTGGGGGAACATGTGCTATATTCTTAATGACATCTTCGTGTGCCATGCTAATGATAGTCTGGGGGAACAGAGAAGCGAGAAACAAGGTGGTTCAACACAGCATTCACTCCCTCGTCCCTGTCATTTTCTCCCAGTGGGACAGGGTGAAGGGCTATCCTGTAATGGGTGTTACATCTATCAAACGTCCTAGGTTCAGTCTACTGGAAGCTGATGACTCTAGTTTCAGGGGTGGAAAGGAAGTGAATCAATAGGCGGTCTTAATCTGAACTTTAAATTAACTCTCCAGTGTACAGTACTGATCCATTTCAGTACCTTGGAGAGCGCCTTCCTTGACGAAAATCCAGAGCAGATTTTTTTCACTGCCACAAAACTGGACACCCCAACCCCCCCTGGGTTCATTCTCGCCTGCCACTTCCAATTCAAGCAGATATCACCTACCAGGTGTCTTCCTGGAGTGTTTCGCACTGTGACCGCCCCCCCACCAACCCCATGGGAAGGGTGTTATGGGGCAGGGAGTCCATCTTAGCCCTATTATCTCAGGTAGCCCCAAAAGAATCTCAGGAAGTCAGAGGAATAACTCTGCCAGAAAAGCCACTGGCGGGTCAAAGCAGATGACTGGGGCAAGACGGACAGATAGGCTTTTGTCACATGGTAAGAAAGCTCCCGATCAGAGGCTGCTCAAGTTGCTTTCGGGCAGTAAAACTCTGAGATTCCCTTCTTCTCTATCAGCATGGAATGGCTAGGCGGATAATTCTAGGAGCTATGGGTTTTTTTAAAAAAGCTATTTCTCCAATCCCTGTCTCAAATAACAGGTTGTGGACATAGAAGTGCCCCCCAACCCAATTCCTCATCCTTTGGTAGCCAAGGAAACTCCACTATTTGGGATGTCAGGCCTCAAGCTTTTTCATTTCTTCCGTTTTTATGGTCTGTCCTCTGCCTTTCTCATCAAGAGGACCCAAGACAACCTGCACTGTTGAAACAGACATCACTAAAAGCTAAAAAAAAAGAAGGCAAATTATTACAATGTTTAAAAGCAACTTAACGAATATTCTATTAAGACAGATGCACAAAAACAGTTTAAAACTATTTTAAAAGCACATTTTTTAAAAAAATTAAAAGGCACAACAGCCTCATTTTTAAAGCCCCTCATAGTTAACTTGTTAATGGTGATAAAAGCCTGCTGGAAAAGTCTTTGCCTTGCCAGCAGAAGGGCAGCAAAGAGGGCTCCAGCCTGGCTTCCAGTGGGAGGGAGTTCCACAGCTTAGGAGCAGCCACAAAGAAAGCTTTGGTCCCAAAACTCAGGTTTGAGGGTTTTTTCTCTGCCCAGATCTCAGGCGTTGGCCCTGAAATAATGGGGTGCTGCTGATCTGGCCAGCATGATCTAGTTTAGGGGTTCATACTTACATGGCACAGATCAGGTGAGATGGAATAGTTCTGAACGTACTTGTCTACATCCCGTTAAGAAAACAACCCCCCTTTTTCTAAAGCGCTTGCTTTCCATCATCTCTTGCAACTTTCACCTTGAAGACTCCATTCCTTTGATACCCCACAGACATATTCCCAGGTCTCAAGTCTGGGTCCTAAAATATTTGGGAATAGGGTGCTGCTGACGTGGCACCCCAAACCCCAGGCCATTTGCACGTCTCTGTGTGCGTTTCTGCCTCAAGGAAGCAAACTTCGTATTATTTATTTTAGGCCTGGGTTAAAGAAGAGACTCCCTTTGGAATTAGCCTGACCTACAGAACAGATGGATTTCGCAATAACTTCCAAGCCAGGTGGTGGAAAGGAAGCAGGACAGATTGTAAATTTAAAAAAAGAATGAGTCAGATTATGTCTGTCTGTCTGGCATATTAATTGGGAAGTTCCCCACTGGGACCTGCCCACGAACCCTCCAGATTCTCTTCCGGATGTCCAATTGCCACTTCTGTGCATTTCCCCCATCCATTCCTGCTCTAAAGGAGATGGAAATCATAGATTGACCAGCCAGCAACTCTCTTGCTGATTTTTCCCACTTCATGTAGAGGAAGACATGTCAGGGGTCCTCGTAGTCATTGGGGGCCTTGGGAACAATATCAAGAAACTTCACACAGCACTATAAGCAGTTGCAGGATTCAGAACTCACACCATCAGAGCTACAAAAAATGGCAATATCAGGAACAGCATACCTACTGAGCCAATATTTAAAAGATACTTAGGTTTTTGGTTAAAACTTTTATCTGTTATGTAATACCAGTCAATATTTTTATAATTTTGGTTGACTGTGCCTGGTATTTTTGAATAATATTCATAATAATAAGAATAATAATGTCATCAAATCAATTCTGACTGACGACGACCCTTTCCAGGGTTTCATAATAATAACAATAATAATGTCATCAATTCAATTCTGACTTAGGACGACCCTTTCCAGGGTTTTCTAAGTAAAGCACAATCAAACCTGGTTTACCCTTCCCTTCTTCTGGGCCCATCCTGAGAATATGCAGCTGGCCCAAGGCCACCCGGGCTGGCTCTACTTATAGGAGGCATGGTAGGGGAATCGAACTCCCTACCTCTGTCTCTGGAGTCAGAGACCTAAACCACTCAGTTATCTAGCTAGCATAGATCGGTATTACTCTCCCCTCCATTTCAAATTTATTTCAGTTTTTAGTTTTAAATGCAGCACAACACCCTTGTCTAGAGGAGTCACACAAAGAAGGAAGACGAATAACATATATTCGGGAGGAGCTGAAGGAGAAAGACAGACCTGCGTTTCTCCTAAAGTCATGTACTGAATTCACGGTCAAGACAAGACACAAACCAGGCACTCCCTGATCCACGTTTTGAGACGTTGACAAAATAAAAAGGGAAAAGAAAGGAGAGGGAGAAGCAAAATATTGTGGCACTTCAAAGATGAATACATTTGTGTTAGTGTGAGCTTTGGGGGAATCAAAATCTCCTTTTTCAGACACATCTTGGTCCATGAAAGTTCACACTGAAACAAATTTGTTAGTCTTTGAAATATCACAATATTTTTTTGCTCTCCCCCCCCTCCCCTTTCTGTTCCGTTTAATTTTGCCAACATGTTGAGTCAAACAAGCACGGAAACCCCTCTGGAAAGAGAGCTACATTTTGATATGTATTTAGTCCAAGCACCGCCTTGCAAAACTCAGAGACATCCAAAATCCAACAGATGACTCTATTCCAACCCTAACATGGATCTAAAATTTAGAGATGGGGGGGGGCTCCCTCTATACTGGTGTTGATACGATCTTTTCTTCAAGCAGCGTTAAGCCACACTGAAATTTTCCCCCTGTGTTGCCACCCCGTGATTCATGTATTCCCAAAGAGGGCTTCCCGCCCATCGTTGGAAGGGGTAAAATCCTGGTTCCTGGCGTTTCACAGCACTTTGAGTGCAGGTTGGATTTAATTCAGAGACGCCTCCGCCTCCATCTTTAGTGTGGGCGTGCGGCCTGAAGCAAGTTCAGGGTCTCATTTCACGGGGGGTCTGGGCCCATTTTGATCTGAGCCGCCACCGGTGTTCCACAGACTTCCAACCGGTTGCTACCAGGCTTATTAGCAGAGATCTTTGTACTCCCCAAAGCGGGCTCTGAGCTTGTACTTCAAAGAAAGGTGCCAATTAGGGGCTTACATCCACCCACACCCTTCGGGTGCCCTGGCAGCAGGCGCATCACGAAGTCTCAGCGGGAGGTCCTCTGGACAGAGTAGTGGAGGCTTCTACGATGCCGTAGTGCTGGAATACTACCTACTTACTCCATATCTGCTATGGGTGGGGAGCAGAGGAAGAAAGGGGTTAATGTTGCCTCTAAATATATGATCCTTTGTCAGATTTCTTGACAAACCCCAGTGCTGCATTAATTAGAAGAGGTAATATAAAACCAACTCCTTTAAGATCTCCTTAGCAACTTCCCCCCCCCAAAAGAAACCTTTCTTTTTTTTTTTTTCATGACAGCTACAGGGGACTCCTTTAAGATCTCCTTAGCAACTCCCCCCCCCCAAAAGAAACCTTTCTTTTCTTTTCTTTTTCATGACAGCTACAGGGGACGTGGTGGTGCTGCGGGTTAAACCGCAGAAGCCTGTGCTGCAGGGTCAGAAGACCAAGCAGTCATAAGATCGAATCCATGCGACGGAGGGAGCGCCCGTCGCTTGTCCCAGCTCCCGCCAATCTAGCGGTTCGAAAGCATGCAAATGCGAGTAGATAAATAGGGACCACCTCGGTGGGAAGGTAACGGCATTCCGTGTCTAAGTCGCACTGGCCATGTGACCACGGAAGATTGTCTTCGGACAAAACGCTGGCTCTATGGCTCGGAAACGGGGATGAGCACCGCCCCCTAGAGTTGAACACGACTGGACAAAAATTGTCAAGGGGAACCTTTACCTTTACCTTACAGGAATCCCCAGCCAGCATAACGAAAATGAACATTTCCAAGCTTTGTTTTCATTTTTGGGGTGGGAGGCTAAACTAGGCAGAATACAATCGGGTCGGTCATTCAAGTGGTGAACTTCTCCCACCTGGACACAGGCTGAAGTAACAGCCTTAGAGGTGACCAGGATAAAAGGAAAATGTGAAGATTACATTAAAAAGTCAGTGACATCTGCCACCTAAAATCCGTCCTAAAGATTTTAACAGGTTCCATACAACCATTCTCTTGGGAGGCTGG